GGGGCGGGGGGGCAGGGCGGTGCTGATAAATTTGAAGATGTGGGCAGAGCTGAGTGCATGTAGTACTTGGGGGATCACAGCAGGGAGTTTGGATTTTATTTTAAAAGTGATAGGGAGCCATAAATAGGCCTTAAATTAGGAAATAACAAGATCCCATTGAGATTTCAAAGGCTCCCTCTGACTGCTCAGCGGACAAATGGCCATGAGGGGCTGGAGTGGAAGCAAAGGGCAGCCTAGAGGCTATTGCCATGGGTCAGAAGACACTCCCCCCAACCACATGTTCTTTCTCCTCCCCTGTCAGCCTCAGGCACCCCATCTGCCCCCGTGGTCTCTATCCACCCACCGCAGCTCACAGTGCAGCCTGGGCAGCTGGCCGAGTTCCGCTGCAGCGCCACAGGGCACCCCACGCCCACCCTTGAGTGGACAGGTGAGGCCGTTGCAGAAATCACATTCAGCGCCTGGCTCTCCTGGATATGGGAAGCCAGGGGCAGCACTCTAGGCCGGGGGAGGGGGGCAGCAATGCCCATCCCAGCAGGTGCTGACCCCACTTCTCCATGTTAGGGGGCCCTGGTGGCCAGCTTCCTCAGAAGGCACAAGTCCATGGTGGTATCCTGCTCCTGCCAGCTGTCGAGCCCTCGGACCAAGCACAGTACCTGTGCCGTGCCCACAGTAGCACCGGGCAACATGTGGCCAGGGCCATGCTCCATGTGCATGGTGAGAGGGCAGGGCTGAGGGTGGGGCTGGGAACACATGGGCAGCCCAGAGAGGTGTTCTCACAGAGCTCTGTCTATAGGGGGCAATGGGCCCAGGGTCCAAGTGAGTCCAGAGAGGACCCAAGTGCACGAAGGCCGCACTGTCAGGCTGTACTGCAGGGCTGCAGGTGTGCCCAGTGCCACCATCACCTGGAGGAAGGAAGGGGGCAGCCTTCCCCCACAGGTGAGGGGATCCATCCAGGCCAGGCCCACAGGCTTAACAGAGTCCTAGCACTTGCCATCTGCTCCTTCCACCTGTACATCCTACCCCATCTCCACCTCTTCTGGTTCCCTTTGCTTCCAGGAGGGTGGCCTGGCTCCATCCTCCTTGTGCCCAACTGGGCCCTAATATTGGCTCTGGACTTGGCTCGACCTTTTGCCCCCTCGGCCTACCCTCACTGGCTAGCCCTTGCCAGCTGCCTCAGCCCCTCAGGCGGCTGACCCTTCTCCTGCGTGGCAGGCCCGGTCTGAGCGCACAGACATCGCCACGCTGCTCATCCCAGCCATCACGACCGCTGACGCCGGCTTCTACCTCTGCGTGGCCACCAGCCCCGCGGGCACCGCGCAGGCCCGGATCCAAGTGGTCGTCGTTCCAGGTGCAGGGCCTCTGGGGACTGAAGGAGTGGGGAGGGCAAGCCAGGGCTCCCCTGTGGCCTACTCACTCCCCGCTGCCCCCAGCTTCAGGTGCCAGCCCCCCGCCAGTCCGGATTGAGTCCTCATCACCCTCTGTGACTGAAGGGCAGACACTAGACCTCAACTGTGTGGTGGCAGGGCTGGCCCAAGCCCAGGTCATGTGGTACAAGCGAGGGGGCAGCCTGTCTCCCCACACACAGGTATGAGGGTCCCTGAGCCCGTGGCAGGATCCTGGGGGCGGGCCTGTGCCCAGGGAGGCCCACGCAGCCCTGGCACCCTCCGAGCAAGGATCAGCCCTTATTTTCCTTCCTCTCCAGCTCCCGGCAGGGGGCGGCTCAGTGGAGCCAGTGGGAGCTTAGAGAGTGGTGACCACAGCCCCTTCCCATCCTCACATACCCCTTTCCCCACCCGATCCAGGTGCACGGAACCCTACTTCGGCTCTCCCAGGTTTCCTCAGCTGATTCCGGAGAGTATGTGTGCCGAGTAGAGAATGGGTCAGGCTCCAAGGAGGCCTCCATCACCATCTCTGTCCTGCACAGCACCCATTCAGGCCCCAGCTACACCCCAGGTGAGGAGCCAGGTGGGCCTGGGCAGAGGCCGAGCCCTGGGATCTCCTCGCTGTTCCCAGGGAAGGTGCTTGTTGTCTCTTCAGGGCAAGAGGGGCCTCTAGGCAGGCTTTGATCCTCTGCTCCCTGCTTGGGGCAGTGAGGGGACTGAGGTGGGGATAAGGTTGATCCAGTTTACCTGGGACCCCATGATGAGGATACTGTTTTCATAATTCATCAGGACGCATCAGAATCAGGGTTGAACACTGAGTAGGGAGTCAGGCTACTGTGGGTTCAAATCCTGATTCTACCCCTTGGCAGCCCTGAACTGGTTATTTAACCTCTGGGGCCTTAGTTTCCTCCTGGGTGAAATGAGGACAGTACCACCACCATATGGCAGGAAAACAGCAAACACTATAGAAGGGAGCTGTGGCATTGCCTGCATCTTTTGGCCTAGCCTGGGCACAAAGAACCAGAGCAACTCATCACAGATTAAGGTGTGGGCAAATAGACCTTGAACTCTGAGTTGGAGGTTGGGGAGAGAAAGAGGGGTCTGGCTGGCCATGCTGAGCCAGAAGAGCATGGTCCCGGCCCCAGAAAGGCCTCCCATCTGACCACCCTCTTTGTGTCCCAGCTCCTGGTAGAGCCCCAGGTCAGGAAAATACCCAGCCCATCCGCATCGAGTCCTCCTCCTCCCATGTGGCTGAAGGGCAGACCCTGGATCTGAACTGTGTGGTGCCCGGGCAGGCCCATGCCCAGGTCACATGGCACAGGCGTGGGGGCAGCCTCCCCGCTCAGCACCAGGTACAGCAGCCCCCCATGGCCAGCCTGCTGGAGGGATTGGATTGGGCAGCTCTGGCTCCCTCCCAACCTTCCCTGTTTGCATTTAGACCCACGGCTCGCTGCTGCGGCTGAACCAGGTGTCACCAGCTGACTCCGGCGAGTACGTGTGCCGAGTAGTCCTTGGCTCTAGGCCCTTAGAGACCTCTGTCCTGGTCACCATCAAGGCCTCCGACTCCAGCACTGGCTCCATACCTGGTGAGTGACTGCCAATGACAGGGCTTACTGGAGGAGGGTGAGAGCCTTCCAAGGTGCTGAGGTCCTAGGGACTCCTGTTGTGACTTGGGGCAGGACGCTCACATTGGAGCCCAGGCGGACTTTGCCTCTCTGAGTAATTCACCATCTGCCCATCGGTCTTTGGCCGCGTCACTTCTCCTGTTTCTGCTGCTGCCTCACGCTCTCTCCCAGCCTCAACCACATTCGTCTCTCCCACTTCCTCGCTCCATCCTGCAAGGCTTTGCCCCTGCCCCGGCCCTTCCCTTGGGGTTGCTCAGCTGAGGACATCAAGCCCAGGCCACCAGCCCCCCAGACATGGGCCTGGCCTCAGAAGACAAGGCTGAGCTGGCTCCAGGATAGGCAGCTCTTGCCCTCTCTGCTGGTAGCATCTACCACCCTCACCCCTGTCCCCACAGCCCCAGGACCTGTCCCTCCTGTCAGGATCGAGTCTTCATCCCCCACAGTGGCTGAGGGGCAAACCCTGGACCTGAGCTGTGTGGTGGCAGGGCAGGCCCATGCCCAAGTCACGTGGTACAAGCGTGGTGGCAGCCTCCCCGCCCGGCACCAGGTACACAGTAGCAAAAAGGTGGGAGGGCGTCAGCCAGGCTGAGCCATGGATTGCAGGGATCCTGGCCTCTGAGCTGAGGGGCTGGCAGTTCCTGGCTCAGAGGAGCAGGGAAAGGGGAGGGGGCATCTGTTGGGCTCTGGGAAACCCTCTCACACCCCTGCCCATGCTGCCCAGGTCCGCGGCTCCCGCCTCTACATCTTCCAGGCGTCACCAGCTGACGCGGGCGAGTATGTTTGCCGGGCCAACAATGGTGTGGAGGCCTCCATCACAGTCACAGTAACCGGCACCCAGGGAGCCAACTTTGCCTACCGTGAGTAGGGCCACCAGGCTGGGCTGGGACAGAGAAAGGGGATAGACAGGGGCGGCTGCAAAGAGCTGGAGTGACCCGCTGTCCATCTCCCCCAGCTCCTGTTGGCACGCAGCCCATCCGCATCGAGCCCTCCTCCTCCCATGTGGCTGAAGGGCAGACCCTGGATCTGAACTGTGTGGTGCCTGGGCAGGCCCATGCCCAGATCACGTGGCATAAGCGCGGGGGCAGCCTCCCTGCCCAGCACCAGGTACAGGACTAGAGGATGGATGGGCCAAGAAGGAGACAGGAGGGAGGCCCCTGGGTAGTGGGGTCAGAGATGGGGAGTGCCAGGGCTCCTCTGAGGCAGGGGCAGCCTTGGTCCCGATTGAACGGGCGTATAGTGAATGGTTAGAACCCAGACTGTTGGACGGCAGTCCTCGGCATGAATGCTGCTTGACCACTTACTAGCTTGTGACCTTGGGCATGGTACTTAACCTTTCTGCGCCATAGTTTCAGCACCTGTTAAGTGGTAATAACAGCACCTACCTTACACAATTGTCTTGAGGAAGAAGTGAATTAATATGCAAAGCACTCAGAGCTCTGGCTCATAGAAAGTGCTATAAGCTGTGTGGTTATTATACCGTTAGCTATTACGGTATTTTATAGAATTTAGGATGCCATTGATTTCAAGATACACCATTATTTTATGTGCCTCTAAGAAAAAAACGCTGCCATTTCATTGTAAGATTATTCACTGTAAGATGCATCGAGACTTCAGAGACATCAGAAAGTGTCTCAGAATTGATGGAATGTGGTATTAGTGCTTGTCCGGTTCACCATGGCTCCTCCTGACCATCCACCACTGCTGGGATGATATCCCCCTCTTTGCCACCCCTAAGCAGGACCTAGCTAATGGCCAGGCCTCAGGGGTCAGAGAGGAAGAGGCATGTTATAGGTGCAGGGGTCTCATAGGGCCCCCTCTGACCTCACCTCCATTCCTGCCAGACCCACGGCTCACTGCTGAGGCTATACCAGGTGTCCCCAGTTGACTCGGGCGAGTATGTGTGCCGCGTGGTAGGGGGCTCAGTGCCCCTGGAGGCCTCTGTCCTCGTCACCATTGAGCCTGTAGGCTCCGTGCCTGGTAAGTGGTGCTGGGGGAAGGGGAGGGCTAGGGCCCCAGCCAGGGGAGGCTTCCACTCAGCAATGGCAGGATCTCAGAAGACCAAAAGCCCCTACCTTCCCTCACCCACGCTTCCTCCTCCCGTTGCAGCGCTCGGGGTTACCCTCCCAATCCGGATTGAGTCCTCCTCCTCACACGTAGCAGAAGGGCAGACCCTGGATCTGAACTGCCTGGTCACTGGGCAGGCCCACGCCCAGATCACATGGCACAAGCGTGGGGGCAGCCTTCCTGCCCGGCACCAGGTAGGAGGAGGTGGGAGCTAATAAGAGGCCCGAAGGGCCTTTGTGACTACAGAATATGAACCACAGGCTTTGAATTCAGGCATATTCGAGTTCAGATGCTGCTCTCTGCCCCTGGCCTGCTCTGTAACTTCAGGCCAGTCATTTGACCTCCCAATCCTCAGTGTCCTCATCTGCCACATGGGCTCACACTGCCTACTTCACGTGCACTGTAGCACATTAACAAATGCTGGTCCCCCACGTCTTCCTGTTGGACCCAGTCTCCACACTGGGACAGGGAACTGAAGGGTCACGAATGGCTGTTCTCCCTGGAAGTGTTTCCCTCAAGCTCCAGCGGGGGAGCGAGGCTGGGAGGGGCCAGAGAAGGGAACAGGAGCCTGGCTGTGAGCCCATGCCCAGCTCTGAACCTGCCTGCCTCCTGCCCTCTCAGGTGCATGGCTCTAGGCTGCGGCTGCCCCAGGTGACTCCAGCCGACTCTGGGGAGTACGTGTGCCGTGTGGGCAGTGGCTCGGGCATCCAGGAAGCCTCAGTCCTTGTCACCATCCAACAGCGCCTTGGCCCCTCCCACTGTGAGTATCTTGGGGGTCATAGAAAGTGGTGTGCGGCTGCTAGGGCCTCTCCACCCTCAGTGGCTCCCACTCCCTGCCTTCGTCTCACCCTCCTAGCCCAGAGTGTGGTATACCCAGTCCGCATCGAGTCCTCTTCAGCCTCCCTGGCCAATGGACATACCCTGGACCTCAACTGCCTGGTGGCCAGCCAAGCCCCCCACACCATCACCTGGTATAAGCGTGGAGGCAGCCTACCCAGCCGGCACCAGGTACTCAGCCAGCAGGCAGGGAGGGCCCTGATGGGAATCAGGAGGGGCTTTCATTAACTCCTCTGTGATCATTTAGTCATTCAACAAACATCGAATGTTCTTGCATCCATTATATGGGCCCTGGGCCAGTGTTGAGTATATAGAGATAAGTCCCTCTGACCTCAGTTGAATCCTGCATTTTAACAGAACATTCTGTGAGTCACTCCCTCAGTCCATTTCCCTGAGAACTTGCTCCAGGCCAAGTCCTGCACCTGGCACTAAGGATTCCAAATGGAATGAGGTGCCTGCCCTCAAGGAATTCACAGGCTAGAGAGTGAGGCAGACATGCCATCTGATAGCAGTGTAACAGGAGCCACAGCAGGGCACTGTGGAGTCACCAGAATGGGCCTCAGCAGAACAGTACACACCCCAGCCCAGAGCCTGAGGAAGGCCACTGAGGAAGTTCTGAAGGAGACCAGAGTGAGGGCCAGCCCCGGGCAAGGCAAGGACGCTCCTGGAGTCCACGGCTGGCAGCAGCAGTGCCCAAAATGTAGAGATGCTGCCCTCACCCACTGACACTTGCTCCCCCTCAGATCGTGGGCTCCCGGCTACGGATCCCCCAGGTGACACCAGCGGACTCAGGCGAGTACGTGTGTCATGTCAGTAATGGCGCCAGTTCCCAGGAGACCTCGTTGATTGTCACCATCCAGGGCAGCAGCTCCTCCCATGGTGAGAGCACACAAGGCAGGGGGCTCAGGAAGCAGGTGCAGGGGGAGGTTCCTGGCGCCATCCCTGTTGGCTGACTCTGGCTATATCCAACCCTTTCTGTCCCCAGTGCCCAGTGTCTCCCCACCGATCAGGATCGAGTCTTCGTCCCCCACGGTGGTCGAAGGGCAGACCTTGGATCTGAACTGCGTGGTTGCTGGGCAGCCCCAGGCCATTATCACATGGTACAAGCGTGGGGGCAGCCTTCCTGCCAGACACCAGGTACAGAGTGGCAATGGGGTTGGTGGAACCCTCGCCTCCTGGGGTGTGTACAAGAACAGCCCCGTGGGCAAAGAACCCGAAGCATTAGCTGGCAACCCTGGGGCCGTCCTCCCTCCTGCCCTGGGTAGACAGAGGGTAGCCTCAGAACGACTGACAAGGGAGGCCTGGGAGGAGGCCTGACCTAGCCTGTGACCCCTTGGCCCCTTGACTCCCTCTCTCCTTCCTCTCCCGTCTACCCCCAGGCCCAGGGCTCCCACCTTAGGCTGCACCAGATGTCTGTGTCCGACTCGGGCGAGTACGTGTGCCGGGCAAACAATAACATCGATGCCCGGGAGGCTTCCATCATGGTCCAAGTCTCCCCCAATGCCGGCAACCCCTCCGGTGAGTCTGATGAAGACCCTGGAAGGGACCGGGAGACACTGGGCCTTTCACAAGAAGGGCCTTGCAAAAAGGCGCCTGGGTTTGAATCCTGCCTGTACCACTAAGGGACTTGAGTGCGTTACTCTCCTCCCCCAGCTTCAGTTTCCTCCTCAGTGAAATGGGGATATTGGTCATCCCAGCCTCATAGAGCTGTCTCAAACAGTGCCACCAGGCACATGTGGCAATTAAATTATTTTAAATTTCAAATCTATATTCTCACATTTCAAGTGCTCAGTGGCCACATGTATATAGCTAGTAGCCACTGTATTGGGCAGTGCAGGTGCTAGAACGTTTCAGTTATCAAAGAAAGTTTATGAAGACTGAGTAACATACATAAAATGCTTAGAGCAGTGCCCAGCACACTGTAAGTTCTTAATAAGTGTTAGCTATTATTATTCCCTCGGGGGTGGGGCTTTTATGGCTATTCCCAAATCCAACTATGGCCAATCCCCGACTTGGTGTTCCTGTGCCCCAGCCCCTGGTGGTGCCGTGCCCGTCAGAATTGAGTCATCGTCTTCGCACGTGGCCGAAGGGCAGACCCTGGATCTGAACTGTGTAGTCCCTGGACAGGCCCACGCCCAGGTCACATGGCACAAGCGTGGGGGCAGCCTCCCAGCTCACCACCAGGTATGGGAGTTTGCGGGCAGGAAATAGTGGGAGGGCTGCTGGCTGTGGAGGCCCTGGATCAGGGTCTGCCCCCTAAGCTCTGCCCAGGGAGGAGGCTGGGCAACCCTGTGGGGTGCAGTGCCTCCCTGGCCCCCATCCTTCAAGGGTTCCGAATGCCATGTCTGCACCTCTGTCTCCCTGTCCTGTCCCCACTCAGGCTCACGGCTCACGGCTGCGGCTGTACCAGGTGTCCCCAGCTGACTCGGGCGAGTACATGTGCCGCGTGGTGAGCAGCTCTGGCTCCCTGGAGGCCTCGGTCCTGGTCACCATTGAGGCCTCTGGCTCTAGCGCTGTTCCTGTCCCTGGTGAGGGTCCCTATGGTGGTGCTAGAAGGCTAGAGAAGGGAGGGAGGGGACCCAGCAGGCAGAGGTCGGGAATCAGGTCAAGTGGGGTTCAGCTCTAGGGCCCAAGAGCACAGACTTTGGAGTCTGGCATGTGAGGGCTTGGGTTCCAGCTCCTCTGTCCACAATCTGAGATGTTGCACAGTCCTCTCCTCCCTGTGTTTCACTTTCCTCGTCTGTAAAGTGGAGATAGCCGTGCCCTTGCAAGACTTACCTGAGTTCCCTAAAGACTGGAAGTGCACCTGTAAGGAACTCTAGGGGGCATGTGAGGGTGATTTTAGGTGGCATCCTAATAGACATCTTCTGTATTAATAGTGGTATATTAGGGGGAAAAGGGCAACATATCAGACCTGTCATGATTTCATGGAAATTATGACCTATAATGGAGCTAAGTATTAAAGGGTTTTTTAAAGTGAGTCAATCAAAAGGAAAATGTAATGAACAGCACGGGGAGCACATGGCTACATCAGACATCATGGTAACAGTGCATGAGGAAGTAATAAACATGATATAGCACAAGTAATGTTGTATTTACCCATATTAACTCATTTCATCCTTACAATAATGTTTAGAGGTAGGTATGATTGCTCTCTCCATTTTACAGATGGAGAAACTGAGACACAGAGAGGTCAAGCACCTTTCCAAAGGTCACAGAACTAATAAATGGCAGAGCTGGGTTTTGAACCCAGGCAGTCTAGCCCCAGAGTCTGAGTTCTTAGCCACACACTGCTCAAGTTTAGGAAACATCAGTGATCTGTGTGGAGGTGCCTGGCCCTGAGCCCTGGCTGCCAATGGTGCTGGGAGCACAGGAGGAGATGGTGGGACCAGTGTCTGGGGCAGGGCTGGGAAAATGAGGTGCCTCTAACCCGTAGACCAGCCTAGCTGCTCCCGCCCTCAGGAGAGTGGGAAAGGGGGAATGGAAGTCACCTCCCCATGGTCTCTGGCCTGAACATCTGGGCATCCAGGCAGGGGCTGAGGGCACAGGGGTGGGGTTCCCAGCTCACTGACCTCTACCTGTGTCACAGCCCCAGGCAGAACCCCCCCCATTCGAATTGAGACCTCCTCCTCCCATGTGGCCGAAGGGCAGACCCTGGATCTGAAATGTGTGGTGCCTGGGCAGGCCCATGCCCAAGTCACGTGGCACAAGCGAGGGGGCAGCCTTCCTGCCCGGCACCAGGTAAGGGAGCTGGAGAAAGCAAGATGTGGGTACCCCCCACTCCAACCCCTGCCCAGGCAGGCCTGTCGGAATCCAGCCCCAGAGGGAAGGTGGCCCCAAGATCACTGGGTGTCAACTAATCAACAACAGGCTGGGCACACAGGGCCACTCCTGACCCTCCCCCCCAGCACCTTGTTGGGAATTAGAAGGCGACAGCTCTTACTCAAGACTGGATTTCCTCCTTCCAGAAAAAATGTCATAATAAACATACTCCACAATGTCTGATGTCAAAGGGGGTTACCTTTGACAGGGTGCAGCCTGCATAACTGTTCATGTCAGTCCTGGGGTACAGGTACCAAAGGGCTTGGACATCTGAAGGCCTTGGCCACTGGCCCCTAGCTCATTCTCCCCACTCTTACCCCACCCTTGGCCAGGTCCATGGACCCCTGCTGAGGCTGAACCACGTGTCCCCAGCTGACTCTGGCGAGTACTCATGTCAAGTGACCAGCAACTCAGATACCCTGGAGGCTTCTGTCCTGGTCACAATTGAGGCCTCCAGCCCAGGCCCCATTCCTGGTGAGTGATGGGAACAGTGGGTGGTGCTGGGCACTGGCTTGTCGGGGGCCCTTTCTGGCCTTGCTCCTCCCTCCTCTCCCAGCAGGGTCTGGAGCTCGGCTCCATGCAGGTTCTCCAGGTGCTCCCCCAACCACCAGGGTCTAGCGCCGAGTCTCACCATGGCATCTTGGCCCCCAGGGAATAGAGACCCTTCTTTGGTCAATGGTGCCCAGCCATGTCAGCCACTCTCAAGCCACTGCACCTCCAGGAGGACCAGTTGGCATTCACTGCCCCCACCATAGGTCCCTGCCTTCACCCCCAGGAGCCTTGTCTTTCTTACCCACCCATTGTACCCACAGCCCCAGGACTGGCCCAGCCCATCTACATTGAGGCCTCCTCCTCCCACGTGGCTGAAGGACAGACCCTGGACCTGAACTGTGTGGTTCCCGGGCAGGCCCATGCCCAGGTCACATGGTACAAGCGCGGGGGCAGCCTCCCCGCCCAGCACCAGGTACAGGGGTCAGGATGGGGTGGTTCCAGGCAGGCAGGGTTTGACCTGCAATTGCCTTCTGCACCCCAAACCTCATGCAAACCCCAGCCTGCTTGGGGACCCCAGGGAAGAAAATTCTTTTGGGGGAAGAGTTCACCAGCCTGGGAGTCGAGACACCCAGTTTTTCTCCTGGCTCTGCGGCTGAACTGTTTCCTGAGCCAGTTTCCTCTGTAGAGTGGGTGGGTTGGATGTGTAGGATTCTGTGAATGATGCTCATCTATCAGCTGGAGCCCTGAGCTCCGAGACCCAAGGGAGAACTCTTGGGCACTGGAATGGCCAGGCCTAGGGACTTAGCCAAGTGCTTTGGCCTGATGGCTGCCCCATCCTTGCTCCAACAGACCCACGGCTCCCAGCTACGGCTCCACCACATCTCCCCTGCCGATTCCGGCGAGTACGTGTGCCGCGTAGTTGGCGGTTCAGGCCCCGAGCGGGAGGCCTCCTTCACAGTCACTGTCCCACCTAGTGCGGGCTCCTCCTACCGTGAGTGTGGCAGATGCCATGGGCAGGGGAGGGAGGAGAGACTCTGGGGCTGAGGCAGAGGGGTTGAGCCAACCCAGCCCTGCTGAGCCGCCCTCTGCACCTCTCATCCCCCAGGCCTTAATAGCCCTGTCATCTCCATCGACCCACCCAGCAGCACAGTGCAGCAGGGCCAGGATGCCAGCTTCAAGTGCCTCATCCACGATGGGGCAGCCCCCATAACCCTTGAGTGGAAGACTCGGAACCAAGAGCTAGAGGGTGAGCTGGTGGGGTGGGCGGGGCTGGAGGCAGGTATGAATGCATAGTGATCACCACTGGGGGACAGGCAGAGGCTGAGGATGGCACCAAACTCACAGTGTGACCCTGTAAGGCCCTTCCCCTCTGGGGCCTCAGTGTCCTCATCTGGATGGTAAAGGGGACTGGACCCAGGAGTCTGCAAGGACTCTTTCATGTGCCATCTGTGACCCTGTGAGCTGACCACCCAAGCTGGAGGGATCAGGGGCGTGGGCAGCACCAAGGCATGGGACACCCTCACTGACCATACCCTCCCCAATGCCAACCCCACAGACAACGTCCATATCAGCCCCAATGGCTCCATCATCACCATTGTGGGCACCCGGCCCAGCAACCACGGTGCCTACCGCTGCGTGGCCTCCAATGCCTACGGCGTGGCCCAGAGCGTTGTGAACCTCAGTGTGCACGGTGAGAGGCGCCAACCCCACGGGCTCTACCTCCCTGTTTCCAGCCCCGATTCCAAGCTCAGAACCTCTAGATTTAAATCCTGCTTCTGCCACTGCCTCCCTCTTGGGCATTCTGAACCTTGGTTTCTGCATTTGTGCAGTGGGGAGACAAGTACCTACCTGGTAGTTACTGAGAATGAAATCCTGACAGTGAGCATGACCAGCAGAGCCCTGCATGTATATCAGCTGTGTTATTCCTCTGGACAGGGCCCCCTACGGTGTCTGTGCTGCCCGAGGGTCCTGTGCGAGTGAAAGTGGGAAAGGCCATCACCCTGGAATGTGTCAGCGCTGGGGAGCCCCGCTCCTCTGCTCGCTGGACCCGGATCGGGACCCCCACCAACTTGGACCAGCAGATGTTTGGGTTCGTGGACAGCCACACGGTGCTACAGGTGAGGCGTGGCTTCTCCTGGCGGAGGCCAGAGCAGTTTTATCTCTGGATCTAAGGCCCAGTCAGGGCCCATCCTTGAGCAGATGCTTGGAGGGAAGAATGCTGGATGGCGGACGGGTGATGAATGGATGGAGAGAGAAGGGAGGAAGGGGATAGGTAGATGGTGGGTAGACTCAAAGATGGGCAGGAAGAAGGAAGGAAAGTGGAAGAAAGGAGAGAAGAAAATAGGTGGGAAGATATGGGGTGAATGGGTGGGGAGGTGGGTAGATGGGTGAGTATATGGATGGATAGATAGGTGGGCGGTTTGATGGGTGAGTGGATAGATGGACTAATGGGATGTCTTGAGTGTTTGCTCTCAAGCAGCCAGTCAAATAGGAAAGCTAAAAACAAAGGGAAGGGTAGAGGAAAGAGGTAAAGCCAAGGCAGAGCTGGGGCTGATGCCAAGGTCCCCTCTCAGTGTGCACATGACCAGCCTCCTTGCTTTCTTCCAGATTTCGTCAGCTAAACCATCAGATGCGGGTACCTATGTGTGCCTAGCTCAGAATGCACTGGGCACAGCACAGAAGCGGGTGGAGGTGATTGTGGACACGGGCAACATGACCCCAGGGGCCCCACAGGTCCAGGTTGAAGAAGTTGAGTTGACTGTGGAAGCTGGACACACGGCCACCCTGCGCTGCTCAGCCACAGGTATGGACAGGGGCTGGCACACAGGGCAGGCAGAGCAGTGGTGCCCTGGGGCTTGAATTTTAGATGCAAGAAATCTGAAGATGGTGTCATGCTGCTTCATCTCCCAGTGATTGTTGAGGTGCCCACTTAGTGCCCCCCCCATGAAGGGGCGAGATCACCCAGGTCCCTTCCTCACCATCCCTACTCCCAGCTGATCCCTGAGGCAGCCCAGTGACCTCCACCGTCTTCTACTCCACAGGCAGTCCCATGCCCACCATCCACTGGTCTAAGCTGCGCTCCCCACTGCCCTGGCAGCACAAGCTGGAAGGTGACACACTGATCATCCCCCGGGTAGCCCAGCAGGACTCGGGCCAGTACATCTGCAATGCCACTAGCCCTGCTGGACATGCTGAAGCCACCATCCTCCTGCATGTGGAGAGTAAGACCCTCATCCACCCTCCTTGGGCCACCCTGTGTGTACTGCATGCAGGTCTCAGCCCCCGCATCCCCAGGCTACACCCTGGACGGAACCCTAGGAACCCCACCCAGAAGGTCCCGTGCACCTCAGGCCCCCAGAGCGTCCCCTAGCCTAAAGCCCACGTTCCCTCCCGGGACCTTTGACCCCCTCATCCCTAGTCCTTGGGGCTTATCATTCAGTTTCCTTGGTCCTTTGAACTAGTCTCCTGCTCTCATCCTGATCTCTGTTCTCACCCCTTACCTCTATGTCCCCTTACCCCAGGCCCACCGTATGCCACCACAGTCCCGGAACACACCTCGGTGAGGGCAGGGGAGACGGTGCAGCTGCAGTGCCTGGCTCATGGGACACCCCCACTCACCTTCCAGTGGAGCCGCGTGGGTGGCAGCCTCCCTAGGAGGGTGACGGCCAGGAACGAGGTGCTGCACTTTGAGTCTGTGGCCCCTGAGGACTCAGGCCGCTACCGCTGTCAGGTCACCAACAAGGTGGGCTCGGCTGAGGCCTTCACCCTGGTGCATGTTCAAGGTGAGCAACCAGCTCAGGCTGGGCAACAGGGGTCAGCTTTCCTCCAGGCCCTTTACTCACCCAGCAACTGGGACCTGGGGACTCCCACTTAGGACACAAAGACCTCCCTCCATTACCCCACCTGGAAATCCTTCCTTTTTCCCCTGTTCTCCAAGGCTTGAAGCAGGCCCGCCTCCTCCAGGAAGACTCCCATCACTGAGTTCTCAGCACCTCTAGCTCTCATGGCTGTATCTCTCCCTTGGCATTGACCTCACACTGCCAAGCGCTTTTTACATAAGTCCTTTAGACTTCACCTGCCAGACTAAGGATGCTTAGGGCAGGGCCTGGATACAGTCATTTCAGCGGCCCTGGGCTTGTCCACCAAAGGACCCAGAAAGGGCTCAGTAAAAGCTGGACAGTGCTGACAATGCATGTGCCACAGGGCAGCACCCACCCCTGGCATGCCCAGGGTTCAGTGGATCTCCAAAGAATCCAATCTCCATGGTCTCCTCCATCAATTACACAAGACCAAATGAGTGCTGTTGGCCCCAAATTCTAGAAGTGGAAAAGCATGTAGCCCATTGGTCAACAACCTGGGCTACAAAGGAGCCTGGATTCAGTGGGCAGCTTGGTCACTTGACAGTGGGAAGACATGGCCAAGTTGTCTCACACCTCAGTTTCTTTGCCTGTAAAGTGGGGAGCCCACATAGGCTGACTTAGAAAGATACACATATGGGAAGCCCGTGGCACACAGTAGGCACTTAGTAAATGGTGGTAATATATATCTGCACCCACCCCATCTATCCCCTGCAGAAGGACATGTAGGTGCTTCCCCATGGCCATGGATCCTCCTAGGTTAGACAAGAGCCTGTGGAAGCACAGTGCCCCACAGGCTCTCATATGTGTTGATTGAATGACTGCATGAGTGAGCAAATGAATGAATCTGCCAATGAAAGGTCTTTTTTCTCTGGTCAGAGAAGCTACCAGGAGAAGAACATTCCCTAAATATTAGGATCAGGGCTCCTTGGGTCCTGGGGATCACACAAATCCATATCCACACAGAACCTCATACTTGTCCCGCAGGCCACTCCGGCTCTCTCCCTGCCACCGCCATCCCAGCAGGATCCACACCCACTGTCCAGGTCACGCCTCAGCTGGAAACCAAGAGCATAGGGGCCAGTGTGGAGTTCCACTGTGCTGTGCCTAACGACCAAGATACCCAGCTCCGTTGGGTCAAGGAAGGGGGTCAGCTGCCTTCTGGCCACAGTGTGCAGGATGGGGTGCTCCGGTGAGTGGAGATGGGGGCAGGACCGAACTTGAGCACCTTAGCCCAAGGTGTACAGTGGGGCTATTAGAATATCTGCCCTCTTGGGGCTCCACATGAAACAATGTCCTTGGGCAAGTCACTTCATGTCTCTTAACCTCAGTGTTCTTAGCTGTATAGTGGGTTATGTGAGACCAAAATTATCTAAAGCACTTAACACAGTGTTTAGCACATGGAAGGCCTTTAGTAAATAGTGGCCCATATTTGTTTTATTGTACAGAGGAAAGAGAACGGGCTCTGTGGCTAGATATAGACACGTGACCCAGATCTCAGCTCTGCTACTTGATAACTTTTATCTTGAGTCTAGACCATAAGGTGTTAGTCTACAATGAGTGTGGTGACACCCACCCTGCCTGCCAGCCTACCTACCTCACATGGTTACTGGGCTATGAAGTTGGCACCATGTGCTGATCTCTGATGGCTTTGAACTCCCATGCAATTGCAAAGCATTCTCATCAATTGTTTTTATTCACTGATGACTTATTATTTTTTCTTTACAGAATCCAGAACTTGGACCAGAGCTGCCAAGGGACATATATTTGCCAGGCCTATGGACCATGGGGACATGCCCAGGCCAGTGCCCAGCTAGTTGTCCAAGGTAAGATGGTAGCACCAGGCCTCTGCCAAGAGCAGGGGACAGAGATGTGGGGCACAGGAACCATGTTCCCCAGGAAGCCCCTTAAATGTATATGAATAAAGAGAATGACCTGATAGTATATTGCTTGTGTCTAGCATAGAGTAAGGGGCGTGACAGATATTGCAAGGGAAGGAGGAAGAAGGGGTGTGGGTGGAGTGGGTGCTCAGACGAACCAATGAAGAATGGCAGTGGACACACAAGTGAGTAAAGGAATAAAGAAAAGAGCAAGCTAGTGAGTGTGTTAGTGAGTGAGTGCATGAAAAAGGGAATGAAGGAATAAATGAATGCCTGGGGCCCAGTGCTCACTTTTTCCCACATCCTCAGGCAAGGCCTACAGCAGGTTGGCTTCATGCTGCCTTTGCCTCCTCCCCCCAGCCCTGCCCTCAGTGCTCATCAACATCCGGACCTCCGTGCAGACTGTGGTGGTTGGCCATGCTGTGGAGTTCGAGTGCCTGGCCATGGGTGACCCCAAGCCTCAAGTGACATGGAGCAAAGTTGGAGGACGACTGCGGCCTGGCATCATGCAGAGCGGAAGCATCGTCAGGATTGCCCATGTGGAGCTGGCCGATGCCGGACAGTATCGCTGCACCGCTACCAACGCTGCCGGCACCACCCAGTCCCATGTGCTGCTGCTGGTGCAAGGTGAAGGCTGGCAGGGACCTCTGCAGGGGTTGGGGAGCATGGCAGGGGCTTCCCATGCTGCCATCTCCTGCCTTGCCTGCTTTACTCTTCCTTTCCACTCTCTTGGGAATTTTTAGTTTTGTGTATTTAAGGGGCAGGTGTCATAATAGTGGTGGCAGCAGGGATAAAAGTGAGTGTTCCTCTGGGGCAGGCTGGAACTTGTGGGAAAAGGCTACACGAAGGGGCATCAAGACGAAAACGGATATGCAGTCCTTACCTACTGGAGCACCTGCTCTAGTGAGGGAGACCTACAGCCCAATCTGAGGGTGGAGACATGTAAACACCAAACAGACACAACGGAGAATAAAACAAGGGCCGTGGATGCAGGGCAGGCACAAAGCTGTGCTTTTTTCAAAGTCATTTCCTTTTCACCCC